CTGAATCGTCTTGTGATTGTGTGCGATCCGCCGTTTGGTGTTTTCATGAAACCTCTGAAGAATTCACTGGATAAGCTGTGCAAGCAGTTTTTTATTACAGGGGAAAGCTATGTGAAGTATGTATTCTCAGTAATCATTTGAAGCCAAAACTCCTTCCGAATTCGCTTCCCGTAACAGCCGGAGGCACATAGAAATAGTCCGAGGGGCAGTACATGCTAGCAGCAATCATAGGCTGACAAGGCTGTCGGTGGCATCCTCTTTTGATATTTGTTTAGAAGAAAGGTGATAACGATCTGGATTTTCTGATATAAGCCACTCTCAAGTTATTGTTAAAACTGACGAACTGCGGAAGAATTCTTTGTTCTGAGGAATGTGCAGCTGAAATAGATTTCGTTCTATCTCTTTCGATTTTCAGCAAACATTGGTGCAAAAGTATTATCGTTCTGCCTGTTTTTGTTGGAAGACGTTTTTTGGCAAAAACCGGTTTTTCTATGTTGAACTATAAGGTTTCTTTTTTATTAATATCGCCTTTTCGGCAAATTTATTTCCGAATTCAGGAGTATCCTCGAACTTTTATGGGGCAGTCTGCGCAACAACTGAATTAGATGTGAGATTAGGGTGTTCAATAATTTGAGCTTTTTACACTTTGTTTGGGATTTTTTGAATCTTTAGGTAATTTTCAAAATTTCTTCGGAATTTTAGGTTTGTTATGTGAATCATGTGAAGTATAAACGACCGGATAAGTCAGTTGTTCGTTTTTTCACTGATCTTCCACTGGATGTGTTCGATTTGTCAGAATTTTCTAACTACAGGTTCCCCATTATCGTTTCTTCCTCGGTTAAAAGTCAGTCTTCAGCTTAGACGGTATCAGCTTATTACTTTTCACCCAGTGGTATAGCAGAGACGGTATCAACTTATGTTATATCCAGTGATAACGAAATTACTTATAGCTTTAGACCGGCGGCGTAAGAAGACTCCGCGCTGCAGTTTTCAGCTCAGATGAGCTGCAACTTTGAGAACCGAAGCAAATGATGATAAAGGCCGTGCAGCTGTTGTTTGAGTAGGACTAGAAATAAAACTGTAGAAGACGGACATGCACGTGGACCGGTAGAGACCAGTTCTTCAGTGGTATTTTATGTGATTGTCAGGGAATTTTTTTTACAGGTTCTGTGATAAATGCGAGAAATACGTAACAAAGACGAATTTGCATTGTGATTTTTGCGAATCTTGTCCTTTGGAGGTGAGGCTTTATAATAAAAGATCAAACACCAGGAAAGGGGATGTGCACTTGAGCTGGTCGGGAACAGCGGAGGTCACGAGATCGGTAAGTGATACGCGTGGGAAAGAAAAATCTCCATCGTTGACGAAATGTAAGTGGGAGACAAGCAGTAATTGAAAATAAGGATTGAAGAGCTTAGCAAAACTGTTTCTGTCGTA